ATGGTCCTCGTTGGGTGGTCGAACCTGCTCCTCAGCTCGACGTTTATGAAGGCGCAGACTTAGTCATCATAGCAACTGCTGCTTCAAATCCAGGGCCGCCGAGGTGAGTTTTTTTTCTTTTTTTCTTTTTCTTTTTTTTATTTCTTTTTCTTTTCTTGTGTTGCTCCTCCTTGTTTTATTTTAATTTTGTTTATTTTGATTTATTAGAGGAGAGAATCGTTTTCGTTTTTCTTTTACATTTTTTTTTTTATTTCTTTTTCTTTTCTTGTGTTGCTCCTCCTTGTTTTATTTTAATTTTGTTTATTTTGATTTATTAGAGGAGAGAATCGTTTTCGTTTTTTCTTTTACATTTTTTTTCTTTTTCTTTTTCTTTTTTCTTTCTCTTTTTCTTTTTCTTTTATTTTCTTTTTCCTTTCTTTTATTTTCTTTTCTTTTCTTTTCAAGGGGGAGGGAAATTTCTCTCTTATGCTGTCATTATTTCAACTTTTTTTGTTATTGCTATTTTTACTTTATCCCTTTTATTAGTTTTGTTATTTTCATCAACGTGAATATTATCGTTATCATCATATTATTATTTATTATTGTTGTTATCATTGTTATTATTATTATTTTTAGTAGTAGTAGTAGTATAATTGTTATTTTTATAGGTATTTATTATCATCATTATTATTATTATTAATGATGTTGATGAGAATGGTTATTATTGATGCATATTATTATTATTATTATCATCGATGTATATTATTATTATTATTTTTATTATTATTATTATTATTATTATTATAACTATTATTATCATTATCATGATTATTATTACTATTGTAGTTGCTGTTGTCGATGATGTTTTTATTATTATTGTTGTTATTATCTCTCGTTTTTATTATCTTTATCATTATTATCATTGTTCTTATCATTATCATTATTATCCTTATAATCATTATTGTTCTTATCATTATCAATACTATTACTATTATTGCTGTTGTTGTTAATTATTAATATTAGTAGTAGTAGCATTATAATTTTCATCATTATAAGTATGATGGTGATGATGAGGATTCTCTCTCTCTCTCTCTCTCTCTCTCTCTCTCTCTATCTATCTTTCTCTCTCTCTCATTCTCCATCCCTATCTACCTATCTGTTTGGATCTCTATCTGTCTATCTACCTATCTATTTATTCATCTATCTACCTACCTGTCTATCCATCTATCTGTCTATCTATCAGTCTCCTTTCCTCTCTCTATCTGTATTTCCTTACCTTTTTCCTCTCTCCTTCCACCTTTCCTCTAACAAAAAAAAAAAAAAAACAAACTTACCAGAAGTGGATAGATAAAATCCGATAGATAGAATCCGAATTAAAAAAAAAAAAAAAAAAAAAAAAAAAAAAAAAAATAACCCAAAATATGTTCCCCAAATCTCCCCAGGTACTGGTGGTGGCGTGGAGAGGAGACCTTACTGGGGAGTGAGAGTAAACTGCGCTTGGGAAGAATCACGAGGCAGTTTACCGGGAACTACACCGTCACGGCATACAGCCAGAAGGGCGCTATCAACTCTACTTTCTTCCTCAATGTACAGTGTGAGTAGAAGTTCTGGCGCTGTGAGTTATTTAGTATGTTTTTTTTTTTCTTTTTTTTTTCTTTTTTTTTTGATGTTGTTGTTGTTGTGGTTCTTCTTTTCCTTGTTTTTCTTTTTTGTGTGTTCGTCTTCTTTTTCTTCGACTATTAGTGTAATTCTTATTCTTTTCTCATTATTATCCCTTTCTTCCGTCTTGTTCTCTTTCTATATCTTTCTTTTTCTTTGCGTTCTCCTATTTCTTCTTCTGTCTCTACTTCTTCCTTCTTTTTCTTCAACCTTTTCTTAATCGTCTTGATTTTTTTTTCTCTCTGTCTTTTTCCTTGTGCAGCTGCTTTTCTCCTATTTTTCCTTCGTTATCTTCTTCATCTTACCTTCCTTCTTCCGCTTCACTTTATCTTCGTTTTCTTCTCTATAGTCATCATCTTCCCTTTCTTAATGTAATTCTCTTTCTTCCTTCCTTCTTTTCTTTTTTTCTCCTTCCTTTTCTTCTACATCTTCACCTTTATCTTCGAGTTCATCTTCATCCTTTCTTTTTTCCTTATCATTATCTTTACCATCATCCTTTTCAGCACCACTTTTATCCCTATCATCTTTTTCATTCTGTTTCCCTTCATTTTCCTCTTCGTTCTTCCTATCCCTTCTTCCTACGTCATCCTCTATATCTTCTTTTCTCCTTAGCTTCTTCCTTCTCCCTTTTTTTTCTTCTAGAATAATCTTATTTCTGGAACCATTAATGTATACTAAGAAACAGTAAAATTGAATGTATAATGGCACAACAATAGACCTGGAACACAACAAAAATATAATACAATACAATGTAAAAATACACCTGAATACAACGAGAAGGGAAACTTGTTATTAAATGAAATCATCAGCTATTTATACTTTTCTTCTCACAAAAAAAAAAAAACTCAGAGCAAGGGCAGGAGCAAAAACTGAGGGGGACGAGTAAGAGAGAAAGAAAATGAGAGGGAAAGGAAGGAGGAAATATTTGGCGAATAGGAGAAGAGAGAGAGTGAGTGAGTCAGAGAGAGAGAGAGAGAGAAGAGAGAGAGAGAGAGAGAGAGAGAGAGAGAGAGAGAGAGAGAGAGAGAGAGAGAGAGAGAGAGAGAGAGAGAGAGAGAGAGAGAGAGAGAGAGAGAGGGGGGGGGGAGACATATATATGTATATATATATATATATATATATATATATATATAGAGAGAGAGAGAGAGAGAGAGAGAGAGAGAGAGAGAGAGAGAGAGAGAGAGAGTGAGAGAGAGAGAGAGAAAGGGGGGGAAGGGGAAAAGAGAGAGAGAGGGGAGGGGAAGAGAGAGAGAGAGAGAGAGAGAGAGAGAGAGAGAGAGAGAGAAGTGGGGGAGAGAAAGAGAGAGAGATACAGGGAGTGGGGGGGGAGAGGGAGAGAGAGAGAGAGAGAGAGAGAGAGAGAGAGAGAGAGAGAGAGAGAGAGAGAGAGAGAGAGAGAGAGAGAGAAGTGGGGGAGAGAAAGAGAGAGAGATACAGGGAGTGGGGGGGAGAGGAGAGAGAGAGAGAGAGAGAGAGAGAGAGAGAGAGAGAGAGAGAGAGAGAGAGAGAGGGAGAGAGAGAGAGAGAGAAGTGGGGGAGAGAAAGAGAGAGAGATACAGGGAGTGGGGGGGGGGAGAGGGAGAGAGAGAGAGAGAGAGAGAGAGAGAGAGAGAGAGAGAGAGAGAGAGAGAGAGAGAGAGAGAGAGAGAGAGAGAGAGAGAGAGACAGACAGATACAGAGACAGAGACATAGAGAGACAGACAGACAGACAGACAGATAGAACGACACAGTAGACAGAAACACAGACAGACAGATAGAACGACACAGTTGACAGAAACACAGACAGACAAAGACAGAAACAGAGAGAAAGAGAGAAAAAAAAAATAGTGAACAAGAATCAAAGAGCTGAAGCTAAATATAAACCACTTCTAGAACACCGTTCCCTTGATTATTAAAAAACGATAACATAGGACTTCAGAGAAAATTACTATATCCAGTGCCATATCTGCGAAGGAGAATTCTCGATAGATATTAATAGACAAATAAGCAGAGGCAGTGTGCGAGCGTGGGTAGCTAAGAGGGACGGGCGAGAATATAAAATACTTTCCAATATTGCCGAGCTAATCTGTGAGAAAATTCCTATCGTTCAAACAGTTATAAAAGACCGTAACAGGCCAATAGCAATACATTATCGAAGGTCGGATGAACCGGTTTTAGATATATTTGGGAGCAAGTGAAGCCGCTTTATTTTAGGTATTATTTGTTAGGCTTTATTTGTTGCATATTGTGCATATATGCGAGAATACTTACACACACAAACACACACACACACACACACACACAGACGCATTCACACACGCACGCACACGCAGACACAGAAACACACACACACATGTTAATGTGTGAATGTGTGTGTGTGTGTATTTGTTTGTGTATAAGTTTACCTTTTCAAACATCTGAAAAAAAATACTTATAGTCTATACACATTTTATCGAAATCTTTCTTTTTGGCCAACGCACATGCGTAAGGGCCTTTTATAAAGCAACGAATAATAAAAACTTTACAAATCAAAACGAAAATTCTTCTCGACTGTTGAATCTGCTCTTATCTGCGCATTTCATCCGAAGAGAAAGAAAGGATTTTTTATGCATTTTAAAAATCTTTCCTGTTTGCTTTCATTCCGTTTATTTTTACTTTTGGTTCCATTCCTTACTCTTTTTTTTCTCTAGTTCGTAATTCAAACCTTTGGGAAAACACGAAAGAGAGATAAAAAGAAGGGACAAAGCAAAAAAAAAAAAGATATAATGAGAAAATTAAAGCTGATGAGAAGGAATTAATTGGAAATAGCTATATATTTTTTCCTTTTCCCTTTTCATTGTAAACTTTGTAGGTAAGAAGGAGAGTTTATGTTTATATTATAATAGTTATGAGTCGTGCTAGTTTTTTTGTTTATCAGTGTTTATTTGGTTAGATTTTTTTGTTATTGTTTGTTTATGATTAATGTTTCTGTTTGATGTTTTCTTTCGTTTTTTTTTTGATGTTCTTATCGATATTTATTTATTTTTTATTTCCTTTTCTTTCTCTTTCTCATCTTTTAATCCTTTTCTATCCTTCCTCCTCCGATATTCATTTATTATTTATTTCCTTTTCTTTCACTTTCTCATTCTTTAATCCTTTTCTATCCTTTCTCCTCCTCCCCACTCTCTCTTCTTATTCATAGAAACCAATCATTATCATCAGCACAGTTATTATTTTGTTTCTATTGTTATTGTCACTATTGCGATTATTGGTGATGCTGTTATTATTTTATTATTGTTATTATTACTTATTATTATTTTTAATAGTACCGCTGTTGCTGCCTCATATTATCTATCATTATATTGCCATTATACAATCATCATTAAAATCATACTATAATTATT